AGCTTCTCATAAAGGCCTCCTCATCTCTCAAAAAGTGGTTATGGACCTGGTGCTGAATTCATTGAGTCACATTCTCTGATGGATCTCCTGCCTTGGCTCAGGCACCCTCTACAGTGATGCCTGAATTCTTCTCATTCTTCTACATCCCCAGCACAGAGAGGGCTGCAAAATAACCCTTGCAAGATTACCAGACAAATGTGAGCAACAGAAGGTGAAGGCTGATGTGAACAGATGTTAATGCTGCAGGTGAAGAGGGCTCCAAGAGAGCTGGAAAGGGACTTGGGACAAGGGCAGGGAGCGACAGGACAAGGGGGAATGGCTTCCCACTGCCAGAGGGTAGGGATAGATGGGATATTGGGAAGGAATTGTTGGCTGTGAGGGTGGAGAGGTCCTGGCACAGGTTGCCCAGAAAAGCTGTGGCTGCCCCTGGATCCCTGGAAGTGTCCAAGGCCAGGTTGGATGGGGTTTGGAGCAATGTGGTCTATGGATGGTGTCCCTGCCTATGGCAGGGGGTGGAATGAGATGGTTTTTAAGGTCCCTTCCAACTCAAACCATTCTATGGGATTTTGGTTAAGGGTTCACACACAAGACCATGGAGTTTCCCTGTGTGAATTCCAATAGCAGAGGGTTTTGATGGGCTTTAGAAGCCAGGATTTGCCTGCCTGCTCTATCTTAGTCTTTTTGAGGTGTGAATTTGGACTGTAATGGAAGCAGAAAAGCAGGGGCCAGGGTCCCTGGCACAACCCAGATGGAGCAGAATGGCATCTGGGTGGGGTTCAGCCTTTCCCATGGATGGACTCTTGCAAATGTTCCTGTAGAGCTGCTGATCCCTAACACTAAATGCAAACCTTTAGAGGGATGACCTTGCCCTTCTGGGTCAAGGATGCCACAGGAAAGATGTGGTGTCCACAGGCAGAAGAGCAATGCTGTATGAAGAGGACCATCAATGGCTCATACACTGCCCTTATATTTAGAAGATTCATAATAAAGACCTGAAGTGTGAAACCTGCTGAACACATTCTTTCAGGATCCCCAAATCCCTGCCCTTCCAATTAAAGCCCTCTATGACCCTGATCTCTCTGCAAGGAATTGGTTTCTAAAAAAGAAGGTGCTTAGTGCTGAATGAGACTGGTGCACAGGCACAGTGGCTTTGTAAGCAGTAGAATTATAGAATCACAGAACCATTAGGGTTGGAAAAGACCTCCAGGATCATCAGGTCCAACCTTCAAGAATTCCAGTCCACACAGAAATGAGATTTTCCACTGATTTTGTACCTAAATCCAACTCATAGCATTTGTGTGTGCGTGTCTTTTCTTTGCAAAGAGGAAGTGTGAGAGAAAGCAGGAAGGCTCTCACCGGTGAGTTATGAAAGAACAAGTAATTTCTCATTATTTATCATTCACCAGTTGCTTCTCTGTCCTGATTTCATGCCCAAATCTCAATGGTTCAGCTGTTGAGCACCTATCTGTGACTGTGACTTTGACATCTGCCATGAGCTTGAAAATATTGGGGGGGTGTGTAGGACTCCCAGATTTTCCTTGGTTAAGATAATATTTCACTGGAAAAAATTGATATGAACCTCAGTCATCAACTGTCAACCAGACACACACAAATCCTTCAGAGCTGCCAGCATCTTCCCTGTAGTTCCATTGACTTCCCTGGAGTTACCCGAAATATAAATATGATTCCAAAGTATTGATGAGTGGGTTGGAGCAGGACTGCAATTCCACTTGGACAGGTGTGATTTGAGAGGAGCAGCACCGAGTCAGGATTCTGGCGGAGTTACACGGGCACAAGCAAGGGAAGGATTGGACAAACTCTGCCTAAAGCCCTGGTGGATTTGAGAGCCTCCTCCAGAAGCTTAGGTAGCTTTTCTTTCTATCCTTAGCAGCACAGTCCTGATTAACCCTCCGAGCTGTGGTCAGTCATTTTGAGGACATTTTGATTGACAGCAGTTAATTAACCTGCTCATGCTTTTCCCTGCCTGGTACAGTGAATTTGATCCTGTAGGTGCCTGGTTAGAAGTGTTGCTTTTTTTTTTTTTTTTTAAATTAATATTTTGTTGATTTGTTTTTAATCTCTTGGATATTCTGTAAGAAAAAGCCACCTTGAGCAAGAAGGATGAAGTATTTCAATGTAAGTATAAAAATATTCATTGAGACTCCCTTTATTTGTCTACTAAAAGATGAATTTGGGCAAGATGGACATTTTTGTTGCCTTGGCTGATTAAAAGTTAGGGTTTTTTTTTTCAATTCTGACACTTCAAATAGATTATATTAAACTTCTCTGGGTGGGATCTGTTTATATTTTGTGCAAGGTTTTTGTGGAAGGCTCTTTACTGCCATGATAAAAAAGCAAATCTGACAGACCATCTAGCCTTGGGTGGGTAGCCAACTCTATCACCCAAAATTTAAGGGATAATATTCCTTTACGTTGCTGATGCCTTCCCAATCCTGTGAAATCATTATTAAAATTATTATTGGGAAAGTATGCTCTGATTTGTCCTGAATTTAATTTCTTGGTACTTCTTACAATATGATTTAACAGCTTGAAAAATGTAGAACAAATCCTTGGGAAGCAGATTTCTAATGTGGGACTTGTGCAGAAAAAATTAACCCCATCTTTCTGAAAGCTGTTGAAAACTAGAGGAATGAGATTTTTTTTTCCCTGGAAGTGATGAATTTGAGTGATGGATTGACCTTTAACTGGGAAATAAATAAGGGAATAATTGCTTGGTGAAATATGTACATGGAAAAAAATAAATCACACTGAAATCTTTTTGGTGTCCATGGATATATATATATTAAAAAAAAGCTGGAATTTGTCAAAATAATAGTATTTCAAATGCTGCCTCATGTATTTTCCCATCTAGCCAAGGTTTAACTTCCATTTATTGCAGGAGGGAATTTGCTGTAGTACAACATGCACCAGTATTTCACTTCAGAGTTGCACAGTGAGAATATATAGGTTTTGTTCTAAAATACGGAGAAAATGAGCACTGACAGTTTTTCAAATGCTGCACCTCTGGAATCAATGAAAAAATTCCCCATTATTGACAGTGGGCACCAAACTGATCCTCCAAAGAATAATTTGTGAATAGAATGACTCTTGAAAGTAGAACTTTATTCAGCTGCTGCAAGAGGGGTAACCAGGAGCAAACTGAAGGAAATCTGTCATTATAAATCCATTTATTGTGTTCTAACTCATTTGCAACCATTTAAAAAAAAAAATCTTCTTTCTTGTGAGAAGTTTTTTAAAAGTTACCCTGAAAAACTGATATCAACTAAGGACCTAATTTGGGAAGTAAATTGGATGTAGTTGTTTGTAACCAGAACTATCCTCTGTCAGCTCCAATCCTACAGAATTCCTTGCTCACAGTTCCAATGGCTTCCTGTCTATCTGTCAGCAGAGATGATCAGAAGGTGGCATCCCTAAGTGCCATTTTTAGAGGCTCCATTTAAGTTTGAGTAATTAACTCAGAGTAAACTGTGGGATCAGCATCCGTTGGGCTCATTACAACCAATATTTTAGCGGTTGTGAACGGTATTAATTCTTTCTTTTTTCCATGTCAAAATCAAAGTGTCTTCTTTTTAATAATTCCATCCCATGTGAGGCCTGAATTTTTTAGTGATTAACTTCCAGGACAATGCATAAGAGAGAGTCCAGTCTCTTCTCCACTTGCTTCCATCATGGCAAAGACATTAAAAGCACTTGTGTTCAAAAGCTGGGGTTCAACCACAGCGAGACACCGAAGGTAGTTTATCTTTAAAAGTGGAGGACACCAACTGTTCCAACACAAATCGGGCAGAACCTTCTCCTCTCCTCTGTGCTTAGCAATTGCAAGTTCTCCCACTGTTTAGCAGAACTGAGTTTTTGAGGTCTATTTGAGGTCTTGTGATATTTCTTGCAGTTATTTTCTGTCATAACCGCCATAAATTCCTCATCCAGAACTTACCTCGTGGCACGTCCACGTGCAGCTGTCCTGAAACCAGACTCACTCTGCCCCTCAGCAAGCTCAGGACTGGTTTGTGCTACAAAGTGTAATCACTCCATGAGCAAATTCAGCTTTGGTTTGGTTTGGTTTTTGTTATGCTCCAGTTCACAGGGTTAAAGGGCTGTGTGAGAATCTCAGTGCTCTGCTTGTAAAAATAAAGCTGAAATAATCACTGGCTCTGATAATTTTGGAGAAAACCTCAAAAGTATAAGCAAGGAAGACACAAAACTCCAAAGGACAACAATACACTTCTTGTGGGTTTCTCCTGGGGTCTGACTCATGCTTTTTGTGCCTCGGGGGTGACTAACACTGACTGGATTCTCACTGGCATCTGCAGGACAAGGGCGATGTGACTGTGAAGAGCAGGGTTATGGCCTCTCTTCCTGCTGTGCTTCCTCATATCTACCTGAGCCACGACCACCACGTTGGTACAATGTGCTCTTGACCAAGCACAGATAGTAAAATTGTTGTGAGGAACAACAACTTTGCTTCCATGTTGGTCAGGCACTGATTCTGGTGAAGGGCCTTGAGGGGAAGCCGTGTGAGGAGAGACAGGGCATTTGGTGTGTTCAGCTGGAGAAGAGGAGGCTGAGGGGAGACCTCACTGCAGGCACAACTTGCTTGGGATGGGCAGAGAAGGGGCAGGCCCTGAGCTCTGCTCTGTGGGGACCCAGTGACAAGACCCAAGAGAATGGCCTGAAGTTGTGTCAGGGAAGGTTTAGGTTGGATATTAGAAAGGGGTTCTTCCCCTAGAGGGTGGTTGGGCACTGAACAGGCTCTCCAGGGCAGTGGGCACAGCCCCAAGGCTACCAGAGCTCAAGAAGTGTTTGGATGATGCTCTCAGGTACATGGTGTGACTCTTGGGGATGGGTCCCGTGCAGGACTGAGGGTGGGACTTGATGATCCTTGTGGGTCCCTTCCAACTCCGCACATTCTGTGATTTGCTGTCTCAAACAAACCCTACTCTGTTCTTTCTTCTCTTTGCAGTTACCTTTAAGCAAGAGAGATGTCTCAGGTGCCTGCTGACCTCCTGTCAACCGCCAGCTCCTACAACTATGAGCCACCCCTTCCCTCCGTGGCTCGGGGGAGTGCTCTCACCCAGGTACCTCCAGCCAAAAAAATAACCTTCTTCAAGAGCGGAGACCCTCAGTTTGCAGGAGTCAAGATGGCCATCAACCAGCGGAGCTTCAAGAGCTTCAATGCTCTCATGGATGACCTCTCCCATCGGGTCCCTCTGCCGTTTGGGGTGCGCACCATCACCACCCCACGAGGAATACACTGCATCAGCGAGCTGGACCAGCTGGAGGACGGAGGGTGCTACCTGTGCTCCGACAAGAAATACGTGAAGCCGATCGGCATCACTCCGGGGGGACACAGGCCAGCCCCTCCACGACACGCTCGCCCCTCCACTACCGTGAGAAGAGCGGCTCAGGAGAGCAAGCTGGAAGATTATTCCACACCTTTCACTCACCATGGCCCCAGAATACCCAAGAAAATCACTCTGGTTAAGAACGGGGAAAGTGGGTTTCGGCGCTCCATTATCCTGAACCGCAGGAACGCCCGGAGTTTCAAAACCCTCCTGGATGAGATTACGGAGATCCTGCAGTTCCCAGTGAAGAAACTCTACACCATTGATGGGAAGAAGGTAGGTATCTCTGATTCCTGGTGCTGGTCAGTTGTTCAAACAGGTGTTACCACATCAGCTTTTGCATTCCCTGGGATACAAATCCTTTAGAGTTTATCCTTCGGGCTTTGTCTCATTAATTATTTCCCCTTAATTACACAGAAATCTGATGTAGAAGAATCCTGTTCAGCCACTCAAAATCTTCATACAAAATGTTGTTTTGGGTCAAAGGGAGGTTCAGATGCTCCGTGTTTTGCAGCTGGGTATAAAACTATTAATAAAGTTCTATTAGTGGAATTTTCCATGCTTTCCTAGGAGGCATGTCCCCAAAAAAGGCTTAACTTTTCCATACCCAACCACTGGGAATTCAGCAGAATCAGATGGCCCTGTGTTACAGTGTTCCTCACAGAACCCTCACAGGGTCCTGCTCATGGTGTGGGATCTTCAACATCATGATAAGACAACTAAAAAATGCATAATTAATTAGGGTATGAGTGGGATCAGGAGACACATTTGTGATGATTTGGTGAATGTGCCAACTGGAGTGGACTCTTATAATGAAGTCAGGGCATGACAACTCCTTTGTTCTTCTGGTCCCAAAGGAATTTCCTGGCCAACCTGGCATTCTCCTGACTTCTCCATCTCTTTGTAACGTAGACTAACCTTTACTTCCCTATTTCTGAAGAGGTCTCACATGTTATCTGGGCTTGTCCCTGGCAATGCAACTGAGTGGAGCAGTTATCCTGCTCCTTGCCACTTCTCCCACCCTTCCAGGGCTGTGTGCCAGCTCCTCAGAGGAACAGTACAACCATTTGTGGTGTCACTTTCTGAGCCAGGTGACTGAAATGACTCGGGTTCAAATGATCCACTATCCAGGAGGGCGAAAAAAATGGAGGAATGTTTTTAGTCCAAATCACTTTGACCTGGCACAGGGACAGGAACGTGCAGTAGGAAGGAGAGAGGGAGGGGATAATGTGGTTTAATTCCTCCTTCCTGGTGGAGGCAACGTGCCATATCACTGCTATGCTCCCCACTCTGGAAGGAGTTTCCTATTCTCAGCTGGAGGATCCAAGGAAAATGTCCTTCCCAAATATCCTAGTGCCATAGCTTTCCCAATTCTACATATCTAAAGGCTGAAAGACTATCAGCCTAAGTTTGATGAGATGAAACCTCAAGGAAAGGATGATGCTGCTCCACATGTGCCAGACAAGTGAAGCTGAAATATTGCTGAGAATCTGAGAGTTATAGAGTCATAAAATACGCTGAGCTGGAAGGGACCCTCAGGATAACTGAGTCCAACTCCCAGTCCTGCACAGGACACCCTGAGAATCCCACCACACGTCTGAGAGCGTTGTCCAAATGCTTCTTGAACTCAGACAGGCTTGGGGCTGTGAGAACTGCCCTGGAGAACCCGTTCCAGTGCTCAGGATCTGTGAGAAGAGACACAGGAGCAAAGGAAGGAACTCAGCTGTGGATAACCTGGGATGTGGACATGGATTGAGATAAACAAAATTGATACTTAATCTTAAATTTTATGTCTTGGTTATGGGACTAGTCTGAGTGCAAGATGAGCAAGCTGAGAAACCTACTGTAGGATTCATCTTTCCTAAGTGTGTTCAGAGCATGTTTTTCTCCTAATCAGAGATAAAAATGATCCATTTTTGATAACTGGATGGTAGACAAAGTGAATTCTGTGCCCTAGACTGTTCCAGCAGGGTCTAGAGAGTAATTCATGTGAGGAGTGGTTGAAGTAGCTGGAGTTGTTTAGTCTGGGGGAAAAGAGGATCGGGGTGGACCTTCTCACTCTCAAAACTCCCTGACAGGAGGGGGGAGCCAGGTGGGGGTCAGGCTCTGCTCCCAGGGAACAAGGGACAGGACAAGAAGCCTCAAACTGCAGCAGGGGAGGTTCAGGTTGGACATCAGGAGGAATTTCTTCCTGGAAAGGGTGGTCAGGCATTGGAAGGGGCTGCCCAGGGAGGTGGTGGAGTCCCCATCCCTGGAGGTGTCCAAGGAAAGACTGGCCGTGGCACTCAATGCTCTGGGCTGGGTGACAAGGTGGGGATGGGGCACAGGTTGGACTCCAGGATCTTGGAGGTCTTTTCCAACCTAAAGGATTCTGTGACAGGAAAAGAAAGAAACAGGCACTTTAGATAGCAACTTTCCAAGTAAGTGTCCAAATTATTGTGGGTATCTGGAGCTGGATTCACTTCATGTTCAACCACCTGAAATGACACATCAGTGCCCAAATGCTTCTGTAAGTGAGGCTGAGCTCTCACAGAGCTGTTCAGACTAAGCTGACAGTCCACTGAGCTCAGAGCTGGCCAAAACAGGTGTCTACAGGCCTCCAGAATCACCAAGGTTCTTTTTTTTCCCAGCTTCCATCACATTATTTGCAAGGTGAGGTTTGCTGTGTACCACAACTATAACACTAAATTAAAAGTGTTACAGTAGGATTTCATTCTTCTCTCTCCATTCTGCTAAATTCTTAACACCTTCACTGATTTGGTCCATATTTTAGATTTAGGGCCTGGGACCGCTCACTGTAGGTGGTTTGGATGAGCCCAGACCATGTTTGAGCAGCCAAGCTCAAAAACCCAACCAAACCAAACACTGCTATTAAGATACCTTATAATCTATGGATAAATATTTTAATTTGTCACTGATTTCTCCATTTTTCAAGACTTGGACTGTTCAGTCCACATGGACGTGAATAATCTTGTGTAGTGGTTGTAACTTTGCCTCCATTTCTACTATTTTTGAGAATTTTCACTTATTTCTCTAAAGAAAAGGTTTTTTTCTACTTCTTAGTGCAGTCAATGTTCTCCTTGTGACTCTTAAAATAATTCCCCACAATTGTCCTTCTAATCACTATAAACACTGGTATTTTAAGTGGGATATGTATTAAATACACAGTCTATAAACAGAACATCTTCAATATTATTCAACCTTCATCTTTTCATCTAATGACACTCAAATATCCTACATTTTCAGCTCTGCTGATGGTCATTCTGTCTAAAGTTCTAACACTATATTATATTATATAATCTTTTTTTAATATGAAAATTTTCATGACTGTCTTGTCAATAAGTGGTTGATCTTCTGTACCTTAATAATTTTATTTTCACTCCTTTTATTCCTTTTATATCTCAGTGATAAATAACTATGGGTCCAATCTGGGCCATGTTATCATATTCTATATATAGCCAGGAAATATGTGATTATTATTATATTTCCTGGAAAACCTTTCACAGTGATTTTTTTTTGGCCATTCTTAATTTCAATCATTTACCTCCAGCTTTTTAACTCTTCATTTCTCATCATTTAATGTCCATTCTTATTAGGACACCCTGTTACTTTAGGCTTGGGTGCCATGACTGTTGAAAGGTATCTGAGTGCTTCATATTTCTTGGGTATTTCCTTGTTTCTGGTATTATTCTCTTTCAACAATAATTCAAATAATGTTATAAACTTCTTTTAACACATGTCTATGTAATTAGGATTGAGGGGAACAAGAACTTTTGACATTTATTCCCATATTTTGATAGCTTAGTAGAATAAGAGTAAAACCCATTCCCAGACTTTGTCTGGCCTAGAATAACATAATTCACAGTATTTAATAGCTTGTTCACAGTGTCTCTTTTGCTGCCAGTTTTTCCTTGATCTCTTGAAAACCAAACACACAAACAAAAAAATAAAAAAAAAGAAGGAAAAATCTCCTGTCCTGCAGGTGACTCAATCTATTCCATCAATGGAAGAGCTATTCATAGACTTCAGAGTGTGTCCTCCTCAATTCCCTTTTGTTTTCTCTTACTGCAATAATTCCAGATCTAAACTCAAATCTAAAATGAGTCAAATCTGTCCCAGGGTCTCTGCTTTAATATCTTTTTAATATCTTTAATACAATTTTAATATCTTTACCATTTCCTTGAGTAAATCCAGGGCACTTCAGAATTACAAGTCTTTATGAGGGTATAAATTTGGACACCCACGGAATAGACTTGTTGTTTCCTGTTCCTTTCATGCCTTATCGATTTAAAAAAGCAGATAAAAGGGATTTCTTCCTTTTGCAGTCTATCTAGTCCACAGATTTTCCCAGTAAACCTCTAAGTTTAATTGAATAAAAGCTCGAATCATCTTATCACTGGTGACCAGAGAGGAGAGATCAAGAGCCATCAGAGGCCAGCAGAGCTTCTTGCTTTGTGATCACACTTTATTTTGCTGTCATTTTGTACTTTCTTCCTCCCGTTTTTCTGCCTATTTTTACCTGTCACAAGTATTCAAAACTGTATTTTTGAACTTCCCAAGAAAAACCAGTTCAGTAGAAACAGTGATCTAAAAGCCTCAATTCCCATGTCAGTATAAATCCAGAGTGGCTCTATTGATATTTACATATTTGCATTTTCATTTTAACTCCTGAGGCTTTGAGTGAGGTGAAAACAGTATTTTTAACCCTAAGAATCAAGCAGACTTCCTACCAGAAAAGCAGGGCAAATAGCTCATTTTCCCAAACTAGCCACGATTTTTCTTGTCAGATTCTAAATCAAAGTAGTCATTTGGTGAGGATGGGACAGGAGAAAAATTTAATTTGGTTTTTCAGTTATCAGTCAAAGTTTCAGCAAGAAAATCAGCAAAAGTCAGTCAAAGTTTCAGCAAGAAAAGCAAGTGTAAATCAAAATTTTTTTTCCAGGTCAAGCCACTTGCTGCTGTTTTCCAGGTGATTAACTGGAAATAACTGGATTAACTGCCCAAATAGGGAGATTTGTTATTAAGGTTAAAATGACATATAATTAACTTGTCAGTGAAACTTTATGCACGTTTTCCCACTAAAAGATGCAAAGGCCTGGACCTAATTCATTAATTCATCTAAATCTGATCAGCTTATGAGGCATTTAGGATGGGGGGGACATTTTATCCATCAGCTCCTATTTACTCATTGTAAAAGATTGGAAGACAGACCTTGTCTTTTCACATAAATTAACCCAGGCCCGAGTTTTCACACCCTTGCTTTAAAGCACTACAGA